TCTCTGAATGGTGTCTTCAGGACTTTTGCCTCTCTTATTGAAGATGCTGTTCCTCTCAGCCCAAATGGACTATAAAACAGCAGCTAGAATAGTCCTCCACACCAGGTTCCCTTTCTTACTAAGGCCTCCCACCTTCCAACAATCGAGGAGATCCTTAACCGATCTAGGCATTACCCAAATAATTCCAAGACTCTGAGAAAGTGTCCCCAAATCTGAGAGGAAAAAGGACAATGAATGCATAGATGATCTGTAGATTCAGCATGATGCCCACACAGACTACATAAAGGATCCATAACCTGAATGCCCCTACTCACCAAATTAACTCTGGAGAGACATTTATCCAGGGCCATCCTCCAAACCAGAAAGTTGACTTTTGAAGGACTTATAGTATTCCAGATCTGAGAAGCAGGAAAATCAGTAGCATCCACACTACCCAATTTAGAGGCAAGGGACTTAACAGAAAATTCACCATTTGAATTCCATTTCCATCTCCATCTTTTTTTTTCTGATCAATAACAAGAAACCTTATTAAAGATATGAAGCTATGTGAAGCTTAGGTACAAAGGGGAGATAAAAAGACTTAACTCCCCACCAAAGAATACAAGGAAAATTCAAAAATTAGCCCAAAAAGTCGAAACCCTATCCACCCCTTGCTTTGCTAACCCATCAACAAAAGAATTAGCAGTCCTCTTCACCCAGTTGTAATGAACCACAATATCGCTACTCAGCCAGTTAAATTTATTCTTCTCATTGTTATAACTCCATAATCCGCTGCCTCCCCCCTTTAGCGACCTAATCACCACCTCCGAGTCACCTTCAAGAACCAAACATCTAATGTTCAACTCCCTTGCTCTTTGGATACCTTCCAGGGCTGCGAGGATCTCAGCCCTAAGAGAGTCTCCTTCCCCAATTGGGCCTGAGAACATAGCAATAATAGCCCCCAACTCATTCCTGAATACTCCCCCAATCCCAAAAGGCCCTGGGTTCCTTATACAGCTACCATCAAAATTCAATTTTATGAACCCAAAAGGAGGGGACCACGAAGGACTACAGGTCCTCTTACAGAAGGCTGAGGAGGCTATCTGCTTCAAATTTCTCACCACATCAGCCACAGAATAATCTGAGAACAATTCCATAGTTTTCAACCAATGTGTCACCCTTAACAAAATCAGATCCAAGGTTCAAAGTATCGATACGATATGAGTTTCGGTCGTATCGTATCGGTACTTAGAAATGGCCGAAACTTTATCTTTTTTTAGTTTTTTTTTTCACATTTTGGTTTTTTGGGAAGCTTTTAGCATGCTTTTTATTATTAAAAAATTGGGGGTCCGAAACACCTAGAAACAGGCGTTTCGGACCATATCTTTTTCAAAAGATACGATACAATATGCCCCATATCGGGCATATCGTATCGATACTTTGAACCATGATTAAATCTAATAAGTTTCTAATGGTTCTTTCCTTATTTGAAAATATTCGTGAGTTTCTTTCTTCCCATAAAGACCAACACACTGCAGCCCTAATGCTTCTCCACATAGTCTTCCCTCTCTTCTTCGGCCATCTGAAAAAAGAGGGAGAGAACAAGCTTTCGACACTCCCAGAGGGAATCCAAACACACCCAAAAAGGGAAAAGACCCACTCCCAAACTGATTTAGCAACCGAACAAGTGACCATAAGGTGGTAACCAGTTTCCCCATCAGCTTTACAGAGAGTACATCTATTAGGAAGTAAACAGGAGTTGGGTCTCTTCTTCTGAAGTAGGTCATTTGTGTTAATTCTTTCCAGGAAAGTTTCCCAACAAAAACTACCAACCCAAGGAGGAATGGGCCTACTCCAAATTTCTTTAACCGGGAAAGACAACCCAATGGGATCAAAAGGCTGAGTTAAAGTCTCGAAAAATGAGGCACAAGAGAAAACGCCTGAAGAGGAGGGAACCCAAAATCTGGTGTCCTCCTTAATGGGATCCAAGAAGAAATTTTCAAGGATGGCTAACAAAGACAAAATGTGGTCCAAGTCCGTGTCCCTAATTGCCCTTCTCAGCCCTAAGTTCCACCCAAACCCTGAAGGAGAGTCTGAGGAGGTTAATAAGGAAGAAATGGGTTCATTTTTCAAATCAAAAAGAGCATACAAAGAGGGGAATTGGTCCATTAGAGGTGAGTCCCCGACCCAAAGTTGTTCCCAAAATTTTATTTTATTACCGGAGCTAAGACCATACCTGATACAAGGGGAGAATACCGGAAGCAGTTTGTGTATGGCTGACCCAGGAGAAGCGGTTGTAGTCCTTGCCAAGATTCCAGGTTCCCAACCATTGTCTTCCAACCCATGTATACTAAACACAATCTTTGTCCACAACTTGTCTCTTTCCAATAGAAACCTCCATAACCATTTCCCCAACAATGCCATGTTCCTCTTCCTAAGATTCCCAATCCCAAGACCTCCTAGCTTTTTACCTCTAGTTACCACCTCCCAACTCACCCTATGGTCCCGCTTCTCCTCTCCAGGCTCCCACAAGAAATCCCTCATAAGCTTTTCCAAAGTGTTAGAGACCTTTGTGGGGATCTTAAACATTGATAGGAAGTACACAAGAAGATTAGCTAGGGTTGATCTAATCAAAGTGATTCTCCCCACCCCCCCAAGGAAAGATAATTTTTCCTCCAAGAGGCAAGCCTTTTCCGAAATCTCTCCACCACCGGGTTCCAAAAGCTTACCTTCTTAGGGTTATCCCCCAGGGGGAGGCCTAAGTAAGCCATCGGCCATTCCGAGGTTGCACACCCTAAGACATCCGCATACTCTCTAAGCTCCCTCTCCTCCAGATTCACACCCGCCAAACTACTTTTATCCAAATTCACCTTGAAATTGGATACCCGCTCAAAGAGTTGTATTGCCAACTTTAGGTTCCGAATCCACTCAATGTCCCCACCTTCACAGAGGTATCTTCTCAATGTTATTTGCGAATTGTAGATGAGTAAGAGGTATCTTCTCCCTTCCTACTCTCCATCCTTTTATTAAATTCCTTGAATCTGCTCTCTGAATCAATCTCCCAAGTACATCAGCGATCATAGTGAATAGGAAAGGGGATAGTGGATCACCTTGTCTTATCCCTCTCGAGGTAGGGAAGAAATCCACCACATTTCCATTCACCAAGATAGAGTAGTGGCAACTTCTAATACAACCCCAAATCCAATTACACCAACTATCTCCAAAGCCAAAACTTTTCAACACCTCCAATAAGAAGGACCAATCAACCAACTCATAAGCCTTCTCCAAGTCCAGTTTACACACCACTCCTTTCTTCTTGGATTTCCTAAAACTCTCCAGACTCTCATTTGCAATCAAAATTTGATCCATTTCCATCTCCATCTATCTTCCAACTGTTGATCAATCCTCTGATTTTAAAGGAGAGCCATCAGGCCCCCAATCTCTTCTAATTCCCAATCAAACAAATCCCTCCTAAAAATGGGAGTCCAAGTTAAAGACCCACCTGTCACACAACAGTACTCAGCCACAGAAGCTTCTTGATTAAGAGCACGCTGAAAAAGATGAGGAAAAGATTCAGCTAGAATCACATCCAAACACCAAGGGTCCTTCCAGAACTTTGTTCTTTTCCCGTTTCCAACCTTAACAGAAATTCCTTCCATGAACACAGAGAAGCTTTTCATGATAGATTTCCAAGGGGAACTACCCCAACTTAGGGGAGGATCCCTGAATCTCCAATTACCCCACTCCACCCCATATTTATCTGCAATGAGAGATCTCCACCAAGCCTCCCTCTCAACCGAGAACCTCCAAATCCACTTGCTTAGCAGGGCAGTGTTGAATATCTTCACTTTCCTAATGCCTAACCCACCGTCAGCCTTAGGAAGACAGACTTGATCCCAGCTTACAAGATGCACTTTCCTCTCCTCCCCCAACCCCTCCAAAGAAAATTCCTCTGGATCTGCTCCAATCTTTTGGAAACTTTGATAGGGATGGGGAAGAGAGAAAGAAAGTAAGTGGGTAAATTGGAAAGAGTGTTTTTAACCAGAATAACCCTACCCCCAAAAGAGAGATATCTAGCCCTCCATGCAGCCTCTTGAAGGCTTGAAATAGAAATTTAAACTTGAATAAATTGATTTCATATTTTGAATTTATGTGATATTGATAATGAAATAACTGAAAATTGAAATCAATTTTAGTTTATCGTGTATGCATTATAATTTTTGAATTTTATTATCTATATTTTATTTATTACATCAGCACAATTCGACCCCAGTTGGACCTCTGACCCATGAACCTCTGCCTTTACCGGGTCAATGCGCAGTCCGGTTTTCAGAACATTGGTTTCTGGTTGTTGTCATCTTTTCACACTGCAACATCACTGCAGAGATCGCTCTCTTGATCTCTCACAAGTCATCGGCAAACTTGTGTAGATCAACCTCAATTCAATCCACTATTTCCTCCATCGCCAATGATCTTGTTTGCAGCATGGATAGTCATGATCTCTGATCTTGTTACTGCTCTGATACCAAAATTGATGAGAATCTGCTCACCACAGGAGTCTTCATCTAGGACTCTGCCTCTTGAGTAAAAGAACTAGAGAGAGAGACTTAAGAAAATGGCTTGATGCCTTCTTATTATGTCATGGGCTATTTATGGATGCCATGGTTACAACATATTAGTTATATTGAGCCATCTTGCCAGGTCCCCTGGTGTACACCTGTTTAATGGGCCTGAATGGACCATTCCCACTATTATTCTTATTAACAGTTCCATCAGTTTCGTTTGTGTATTTAAAGTTACAGACACATAGTATACATACACTTTACACCCTTTCATATTACTGATGCATAAATGCCATGCTAGAAAAGGATTATGACTTATGTTTGTCTTTGTCTTCTTGTTATTGTTGTTGTTATAATTGAGAACTGCCACATCCAAAAACCTGGAACCTATGCTAATATTAACGATCATGTCTTCCATATTTTTTCCCTAGATCTCCAAAAAAGGCATATGATCCTTACCTTCTTGCCCTCAATTGTTTCTGGAACATCACCACTTGCAATCCGCTGAGCAAGTCCTTCTGCAATTGCAGTTTTCCCAACACCAGGTTCTCCAATAAGGCAGGGATTGTTCTTTGTCCGCCTACCAAGAATCTGAGTCACACGTTCTATTTGTTGTTGCCTTCCAACAACAGGATCCACTTTGCCCTGAAAGGCAAGAATAATTGCTTAAAGTAAACTCATTGAAACAATGAAACATGGCATAGCAATAAATGCCAGAGGAAAAAATTGAGAGAAAAAAAAAATTGAAGATACCTCTTCTGCCAGTTTTGTCAAGTTAGTGCCATACTCCTCGAGTGTCGGCATCTTATTGCCACTGCTTCCTCCTCCAACCCCAGCTCCAACAGCTTCTGTGCTCTCACCCACCATTCGGATAACCTAATTGCATAAAAAAAACATGATAAATTTGGAAATAAAATGATAAATGCAAGTACATTTAAGATAAGTAGGCTTTATCCATGACAAGTACAAATATATGTTGCCTGCCTGTGTACGAATGTTATTTGAATCAGCACCTAGGTTTTCAAGCACGCGAGCTGCTACACCTTCACCCTCGTGAAGAAGTCCCAGAAGCAAGTGCTCGGATCCAATATAATTATGACCTGAGACATTTAATATGTAAGAATAGCTATGAAAAAAGATCAATAAAAAGGAATATACATAACTGGAAAATGTTATGACAAAGATACCAGCAAGTTAACACAGGCAATACAAGACCTTCTAGGCACACAATTCAACATATAGCCCTTAATCACAGGTCATATTCCTTAATTTCCTTTTGGAAGGACAAATTATTTACTGACAACAAAGGACAATTTAAACATTAACAAAACAGAAAAATAAAACTAATTAGATATCAAAGGAAAGCATAAATTTTGGCAATCATATACGGCTATACCTACTACCTAGCACTATCAAATAACATTTGCAAATCTTAATTAATGACTCAACAGAACAATAGCCGAGGATCAAGATGCAGTGGTTGCAGATTACTATGAGAGTATTGAGAATGTTGTTGTTTGGAGTCCAACTTTTTGAAGGAGAATTCAGAATTGGGAGATTGGGAATTTTGCTGAGTTGTTTGGGCTTCTGTCAGCTCAGGTGGTGGATACTGGATACTAGCAGAGAGGATAGCTGGATTTGGAAATGGACTGCAGACGGGCTTTTCTCAGTTAAGTCTTTTGCTCTCAAGCTGTCAGAGAGTAATCTGGGTGCAGTTCCAGCATTCAAAATTTGGAATTCCATCTCCCCTTCAAAAGTCAATGCTTTAGTGTGGGCTGCTGCTCTGGACAGGTGCTTAACCAAAGTAGGTTTACTCAAGAGGGGGATGCAGATCCCAGACCAGAGGTGTATTTTTTGTGGATAGACTTTGGAGGATTCAAGTCATTTTTTCCTCTGGGGATGATTTGGGCCATGCCTAGTAATATTTTGGACCTTCTGTGGAGAAGGGATGTTCAAGGGCTTCCTATGTTTGCAAGCTGCATTTGAAATTCTGTTCCAGCTGCTGTGATTAGCACTATCTGGGTTGAAAGGAACAGAAGGATCTTTTAGCAGAAATCTAAGGAACTGAAGGAGTTCATTTCTTTTTCCTTTGGAAAGCTAGTGTACTGGATTTCTGCAGCTAAGGTTTCTTCAGCAGTGTAATCCAGTGGCTTTGCTGAGGACCAGAAACCTGTGGAAGTTGTAACTTTTCTGTTTGTTTTTGCTTGTGCCTGGCCAAGGTCTTTTTCCTTGGGGGCCTGTTGTACTTTGTTTGTTCTATTAATAAAAGTTACCTTGCCTTTTTCCCTTAAAAGAGAGAAAGAGAGAAAGAGAGAGAGAGAACAATAATGGGTCCAAAGATGTAATAGGAAAAGACAAAATGCATCCACTTATTAAACAATTAAGAAATCAAAAAATTACCAAGTTGGCGGGCTTCCTCTAGAGAGAGTTCTAAAACACGTTTTGCGCGAGGAGTGAATGGTATCTCCACAGCAACAAATCCACTGCCCCTCCCTATGATCTTCTCCACTTCCACACGAGCATCCTTCAGATTAATTCCCATGGACTTAAGAACTTTTGCAGCAATTCCAGTGCCTTCACCAATAAGACCTAACAGAATCTGTTCTGTGCCAACAAAGTTGTGTCCAAGCCGTCTTGCCTCCTCTTGGGCAAGCATAATAACTTTAATAGCTTTTTCTGTGAAGCGCTCAAACATAGCTACTGCTACTCCCCGGCTGGCCTTTCCTCTTGGAACAGAGATTGCAGCTGTCACCATGGAATGAAAATTGCAATGGGACCTCAGCATAGAATCCAAAGCATTAGAAGCTCGCAATCCTGAAAAACCTCGTAGCAAAAGGCTGGGAAATGGCACATGGAATAACATTTTGGAAGGATTCCTTCCAGATCCTCTAAGTTGGCCATGGCATTGGCCAGCAACTGCAGCAGACAGGTTTGTCAATTGAACAAGAGCCATGGCCATGATTCTTATGAGTCTGCTATCTGTGTAATATGTGACAACCTGAAGTTAGCATGCTGCAAGCAGGATCAACCATAATTTTTCCGTTTTTGATAAACTAGAATAATTTAAGCAGGTCAGGTGTCGAATAGCATTGGTATGCCAACTATTGAGATGACAAATGTATTGTTTGCAGTTATCAAAGCCAGGACAAAACAGATATGTATATGTCCAGATGTAGAGACAACATAGTTTATATGCATGACCATACTGGATCAAATCTGAGTATCCGCTATGGTATAGATGCCTCTTGACAACTAGGACAGCAGGCACTGGCAACACAATACCAATCTTCAGGGCAAAAATCTGTACTTCCCTTTTGAGTTACCAATTGCCAAACTTATAATGAATTAATCCTTTTGGGGTACCAATGAAAAATAAGTAGGGATTTGAAATTACATTGACAACAGTGTTGCATGGAAACAGACACTGGAATCAGAATCTGATGCATGTCTGGGAACTCAGCATTCACTAAGATGAAAAAACAAGGACTTAAGGGCAAAAATATAAATTCTTAAAATAGTATAGTCCATATTTTTATGAATTCTAACATTAAATACCTACAGAGAAAGGTGTAAAAATTTATCAGTCCATCTTTATTGCTTAATAAAATTTTATAGGCAAAAATGACATTCATTATGTACATTAGTTGTTCATTTATGTCAAATAAGCAAAGAGAATAAGGAAAATGTTACATAGAAGTGTTCCTCAAGAATCGTATGAGGTACTAGAATCTGAAATATGTCCAACACAGACAATTCATCCATTTAGGGAAGTCAATGCAACATTGATTGGGAATGAGCAACTTATTCAGTAAAGACTGGCTTTACAACATGCACCTGACCTCATGCCTACAAAGTTAAGTGTAACTAGGCATAATAAGGCAATTAACAGCACAGAGAGGTAACATATAGGTGCTAACAATAAAGGTAAATATAGGTAACATCTTATCACCTTGTACCCTTTTATTTTATTGAAATATTCTTTTGTTTTCAAAAAAAAAGGAAGCATCAAGCATTCAAGCACCACATTTATCAAAAAAACCACAAGTAGACAGCCTTAAATAGATGATAGATAAAAATATACTAACAGGGTTCCACAATGATAAGTGATGGAGAAGAGGACTCGCTAGTAACTGAGAAGCATATGGAGAAACAAAGCATCATATAATTTTTAATTTCCAAGATCTCTGTGGTATAATTGGAAGTGCGTTATGCATAAATAACGGCAAACAGGAACCAACTCTGAGTACATTCAGATCAAAGAAAAGGATACATGTCTTTGGCAACATTGTAGTGCGGGTAACTTGGAACTTGCAACATATAGGCACTAGAGTTTGTAACAACAAGAATTAATCGTCAACCAGCATAAGACCATACAATTTTACATCAGAAATGAGCCGAGTTTAGCTCAAGGGAGCCAAGCTAAATAAAGTTAACCTTCCAAACTACACAGGGGAATGAAACCCTCAAACCCAATGATCCCTTGATTGTTTTCCAACTTCTAAAGGCAAAAGCCAAGGCAGAAAAAGATAGCTTAAGCTACTGATTAAGAAAGCCCAAGTAACTGCAACAGACCTTCAATATCATCTTAGTACAATTCCTTTATTTCAATAAATCCAAGCATTAATGATAGACATCTATATGTGGAGCACTGACCCAAAACCTCTTGGAAGAACTAAGGAATTTAAAAACCCTTCAACGGACTATAAATTCGGTTTTGATGTCATAATAAAATTGGCTAACCCACCAAAAGAAATTTGAGAAGCCCTTCATCTCGGAGGACAAGAAATTCAGTATGCAGGGCTCCACGTCTAGAGCCAATTGAGTGAGCAAACAAACCTATAGGGGGAAAAAAGACAGAAGGTGGAATCATCGATGGAACGCATAAGAGACATTTCAGAACCATGTAAAGTATCAGAATTCAAAAGTCCAACCCATAGCAGTACCTGAAATCACTCTAATAGAAGTTCGTAATTAATTCGAACAAACCGATTCGGGGAGAGAGGGAGGGAGGGAGGGAGGTTCTAATTCTCCTTCGCGGGGAGGGAGCGAGGAGGTGGGAATTGGGATAGATGCTAGAGTGTACTTTTTTTCGGTAAAAGACTAGACTGTACTTCATTCCTCGTGGAAACTGATTAGGTCATATCCACTTTTTGCCAAATGGCACGATCAATTCTTGATAAACCGCGCAAAAGGGCAATGTTTTTTAAGACTCGGGCACAAAATCGGAAAGTCTTCGGTCTTTCTGGGGTTAAACGGTTTCATCACACATAAAAATATATTTTTTAATATATGTACGTATCTATATATAATATATATATATATATATATATWTTTTTTAATATCATGTAATTTTTTAAACAATCAAATGCACTTTCCCAATAACCTAAATAATCTTTTCTCCTAAAATTTCTTCTAAAATATCTCCCCTACTATCCCCCACTTTCTCCAAAATTATCTCTAATTCCTATTTATCTTCTAAATTATCTCTAATTCCTATTTATATTCTAAATTATCTCTAATTCCTATTTATCTTCTAAATTATCTCTAATTCCTATTTATCTTCTAAATTATCTCTAATTCCTATTTATCTTCTAAATTATCTCTAATTCCTATTTATCTCCAAAATTATCTCTAATTTAGTAGAGAGTTTATCTCTTAAATTATCTCTAATTCCTATTTATCCTCTCCCCTACTTATTATCTATATCTATCTAAAGAAAGTTTGGATTAAAAAAATTAAAAGTTATTTAAATATCCTAACAAAATTATATAATAACTTTAAAATATTTATTAAAACTACAAAAAAATAATTTTAATTTTTTAGAAAATATATCATGAATGTACTAACAATTTAAATTATGTTTTTTCAGATTATCAATTTAAATGTTTTTCAAATATTTAATAATGTGCAATAGCTTTAAATAAAGAAAACTCAAATAACAAAAAATAAATAAATATTTTATAGATTATTTAAATATTTAAATAACTAAATATTTGTTATAACTATTTTAAATACTAAAAATAGCGAAATTATGTAATAAATTTTAAAAAAAAATCTTCAAATTAGAAAAATAATTATAACATAATATTGAAATTAATAAAAATTTAATATATTAAAACAATAATAATGGAATTATGTAATAATAGTATAAATTATGAGCTTATGGATAATTAAATTCAATAAATAATTAAAATTTTAAAGTTTAAATATTTTGCATTTTAAATAGTTAAAATAAATAAATTATGTAATAAATTTAAAAAAAAATGAAAAGTAGAAAAATAATTATAACATAATATTTTAAAAAAATTGAAAAGTAGAAAAATAATTATAACATAATATTGAAATTAATAATAATTTAATATTTTTACATAACATTGTAAATAACTAATTTCACTTATATCAAGTAATAATTCTACGTACTAAAATTAATATTTATTGCATTTTACTAATTATTTGTTATTTTTTGTAATAAATGTATTTTCAATAATTATGTATAATTTTATTTTGTTTTGTTATTTAACAAAAAACTTTCAATAATTATTAGTGATTAAACTACTATTATTAAACTTTTTAAATTTAATTTATTGTACTTATTGTATTTTTGTTATAACTTATTGATTAATATTTATTAGAGATTAAACTATTATTTGAGATTATACTATTTATTGACAAAGTTAATATATTTTTAGCACTTATTGTATTTTTGTAATTATTGTATTTTTTCATTATCAATATATTTTCAATATTTGTGTATTTTGCTATAAATTTTCAACAATTATTGGAGATTAAACTATTGTTATTTATTAGAGTTGAGACTATTAATTTAGTTGAAATTATGAGTGTTTATGAGTTGGTTCGATTCGGTCGTAGGCTACTTGGCCAACCAAATTGACCTGGTTAGGTTAGGGAGTTTGTCAGTTGAAACCGACTAACCTTTTTTGTGAAAACCAACCCACTCAAGTTGTATCAGTTTGGATCAATTTTTTTTGTTTGGTTAGTCGATTCAAAATATTTAAACTTAAAATTTAAATTTAGTTTTAAAAAATATTGTTCAATTATTAAAAAGTAAATTTAAAATTTAGACTTATGATATAAAACATTTTAGACTAAGAAAGATGGGAAACTTTCCACTTTTCCATATTAAAAATTATATTTAAAATATAAAATATTAATATATATCTGTGGTCAGGTTGTTCATTTTTGGTTGGTTTGCAAATGGCTAAAGTGAAACTGATCCAGCTTAGTCAAATAGGGAAATTTTGAACCAAAGCCGACCTAAAATACTAGAAAATCGATCAACTTGAGTCGAGCTGATCGGGCTAGTCGGTTTCATGAGTTTGATGAATAAACCTAACTAAAATTAATTATTGTTATTTTTTGTATTATTAAAAAATTATTAAAGTAGTTTATAAAATATGAATAATTATTAATTATTTATAAAATTGAAAATATAAAACAATTGTATACTCTTATGTGTTTCTATTAGGGTCATTTACTAGAACACACCTTATACTTTTACATATTTACTTAAACCTACCTTATAGTTTTCATTTTACTAAAAGAGCCCATATATTTCACAACTTATTTACTTAATCAACCTTTTATTAAGGAGTGCTTGTTTTGCCATTAGGCCCATGATTTTTTATTTCAAAAATACCCTTAACACTTTTTTTGTACAGAAAACAAAATCGACCAAAAAAATAGCCAATAGAGTAGTTGCCCATGTCTTAGTAAGGGCGAAATTGGTATTTTTATTTTTATTTTTATTTTTATTTTCTTTTGATTAAATTTATTTAAATGAAAACTATGGTCAATACAGTCATTTTCCACTGTCATCTAATGGAAGATTGATTAAATCCATTGCAAATTATAAGTGATGTTTTAGTAAAATGCTAACTACATAGTAGATTTTAGTAAATAAAGGGTATTTTAGTAAATAACCATTTATATTATTTAGCTTTCGGTTAATAAATCCTGTGCATCATATGGGTCCTTGCTAGTACTATATTATAAAGGGATTAGTTCCCGCATCAGCCGCCCTCTCCATCTCTCATTCCCCCTTCTCTCCTATTTCCTTGAACCACTCTCCTTCTACACTAGATTGTCACTCCAATTTTTTGTTTCATGTTCTCAATCACTTATCCACCCCTCCTAAAATTTCTCCTAAACTATCTCTCCCACCTAAAATTCTTCCTAAAACACCTCTTAATCTATATTACTACGTGGCAGCCCTCTTGTATTCACTAGAGTTCCACTCCAACTCTATCTCTCTCTCTCTCTCTCTCTCTCTCTCTCTCTCTCTCTCATGTTACCAATCAACTCAACCCCCTCATAAAATTTATCCTAAACAATTTCTCCCATCTAAAATTCCTCCTAAAACACCTCTTAATCTATATTTTAAACCATCTAAAAACCAAAAACGTGTGTAAACTAATTAATTAAATTAAATTGGGTAGTTAAATTAATTTGTGAAATATTTTTTATATTTTCAATAATTATTGATATTATTGAATATTATTTAGTAAATATCAACACCTAAACTATAATTTTTCGTAATTTTGGTAAATTGAAAATTTTAATTACTAAGAATTACTGATTCTGGTAATTTAATTTCAGTTTTTTTGAAAATTAATTATTGAAATCAATAGTTACTAAAATAATAATAATTAATTAAAATATTAATAAATACAATTTTAACAGTTAAAAATTATTGGTAATTTTTATCAGTAAGTATTATTTATATTTTCAGTAATTTTGGTCAATTTATTAATATTTAATGATATTATCGAACAATAATTTTAAATTTTTAGTGGAAAATTAATTTCAATAAATATAAATTTACTTTTTATATTTTTAGTAATTTTGATATTTACTATAATTTTTTAGCAATCATTAGTGATTTTGTTAATTTAGTGAAACATAAATTATAAAACTTCCAATTTTTCAAATAAATAATTGGAAAATTTTAATAATTTCTATAAGTATTGGATACTGCATTTATAATTACCATAATTAATGGAACTATATTTATGGGTTTGGGGGTGTTATAGGTTAAGGGGATGACCCCAGGGTAGGAATGACAATGGGCGGGTTTGTGGCATGAATCATAGTCCCCATCCTGACCTTGAGTTTTAAATTAATCCCTATCAAAAATTTTAGCCTACATCCCCGATCCTCGACAGAGAGGGCTTCCTCATCGGTGACCTAAATCCCTGAATTTTTTAATTAAAAGTTTGTTTTTATAAAGGTATTTATTTGAAATAAAGGAAAAACTAAAATGAAATAATGTTTTAAATATATTTTGATATATATAATAAAAATATTATAAAATAACATAAATAATGTTATATATTTAATATAATATATATACACATATACTTAATATATATAATCAAAGTTGGGACAAGGTGTATACTTCACTCCCCATCCCTAATCAGGTATTCCTATTAATTTTATCCCCACTAAGGCAATCTCCATTCCATCCCCACCTAATCAGGGAGGTTGGGTACTTGACGGGGATGGAGAAAATTGCCATCCCTACCCCTGTATTTTGTAGCTCCATATAACAATAAGTTTTAAGTCCAATTCCATGCATCGCACGGGGGCGCTAGTATATAATAAGTGTTCATAGGAGCTAAATGGTTAAGGTGTTAGGCCCATCTTTTTACTAATGTGACATTTTTTAATCAAAACCAAAACCATTCATTAATGAATAGTGCCAGTAAAGAGTTGTACATCCATACCAAGACTTGGTATCTAATACTCCACGTTCCCTTTTTTTATTTCTTGCATACATTAGTAACAATTGTATGTGCCAAAATATTATAATTTCTTCTTACAAAAACGAGAGTAAGGTCCAAAAGACTTGAAGTACATAGTCCTTCCAATATGCATCATGTCTGTCTTAGAGGCTTCTACTATAGTACATTTTAACATAACTACTAGTAAGTTAGCATCAGAAAAGAGCATGACACCTCTCATGCATGGCAAGTAGGGCTGGAAATATTGACCCCATTAGGGTTAGTGGAAAAGGGTTAGGGTGGGTTGGGTCGAGGGTACCCATTAGGGTCAAGATGGGGTGGGTCACGTGGGTCAAGATGGGTTGAGTTAAAAACAACTTTATTTATACTCGCCAAATCTCAAAAAATAGAAGTTGCAATGATTTGAACCCATGCCTCCTAGGGCTGTTCACGGGTCGAGTTAGGTT